TTCTGCATGGAGCACTGGGTGTTATGCACAAACAATGAATACATCTAAAACTAATGATGTAATGTATGGTGATTAACATAACAATAAAAAAATTTTTTAAAAATGTACAAGGTTGAAGTTATAATGATTGAACATATAGCATGACAAAGAGTAAAGAAAAAGAAATATAGAAATCAATAGTTTTATGTTGTCTATTCTGGGAAGAGTAAACTCTGATTCTATGTTATTGGTTTGGTTCCTTAGACATAAATATCTCTTGTGTAAAAGAAATGCAATTCTTCAAGCTATCAGTGATAGATAAGACCATCTGTTATTATTATTATTATTGCTATAAACACCAAAAGAATAAAGTTTTAAGTGGAACATTATTATATTTTTATTATTACACACACAACAAAACATTATGACCAAACAGTGAAACAGCAATGTTGAAAGAAGAAGAAAAAAAAGAAATCAAGAAAAATAGCTGCAGCCTTCCAGAATTTCATTAACGGATTCCCTTCCCTCTCTTCCCTGCCATCTCTTGACTGACCAACTCCTCCAGTGAGAGGATCAGGCAGGTTTACCCCTACTGGAGATTCTAAAACAGTGTTTGGCCTAAGCTCACTTGTAATACTATGACAAGCAACATAAAAGCAAGAACTGACTTGAGAAGGAGAAAGAGGAGCCTACTTCAGGGGCACAAATAACTCTGCTTCCTTATTAGGAAGGAACATTGACAGGAATAATCTTTAACCTTGTGCTTGGGCCCAATTCGGCAGAACCAAGAGCTACCACGCACTGATCAAAGCCCAGATGGTATCACCCATGTGGAAAGCTGAGATTGCTGTTGTCTCCACCTATCTGAGATCTTCAGAATAAAGAGGCACAAGAGCAGCTTAATAGTAATTCAGAGAGGAAAAAGCAAAGCAAGAAAAGATCACCAAGCCCCTTTTGGTTTGGGACTCTCAGGAGAAAGGTGCTATGTCCACCTCCAGAGAGGAAGCTTCAACATCTTTCCTTGGAACTTAGCAAATGCCCCCAGTTACTTTGCCTGGGTTTCCAATAAAAGCCCACAGAATTTCTGTTCGTGTAATTGAAGGGAAAACTTATTCCATGTTTCTTATTCATTTACACTTCAGTCATCAAAATATTGATTTTTAAGAGTTATTTGAAGTATAAAAATCAAACAGAAAACTTACAGAATATTCTTAATAAAGCTTAGATGAAGTCTGTTCCTCCATCTCCCAGCTTTGCCTGAAGAGCAGGGAGAAGGATTTGAGTCAGAGTAAAAACATAAACTTAAATAAGAAGGAGGCCATCAAACTATTGAGTTCAAAGCAAAACCCAATATTGTGAAATATTTTTAAGTATGTCCTGGTGACACCTGGAATCATCTGGCATCTCTTTGGCAAATTAATTGCTGAACAAGGAGATTCAAGAAACAAAGATATGGAGAAAACCAGAAAGGTAAAATAGGGTGGTCATTCTAAGTGAATAGATCAAGTTAAAAGGAATAAGACCAGTGACATGGCTGAAAAAATTCAATGATGAGCTTGCCCAGCAGACCTGAGGTGTGTGCAGGTGGAGCAACAGAGGCTTCTCCAGATAGGGGTCTCTTCTCCTCAGAGGATCATCCCTAAGTGTTCGGTTCAATGAAATAAAGCAATTCTAAGAAGGACTTCTCTGAAGGAGTCACATCCTTCCAAAGTCGGATTGAACTCAATGAGCCATTCATATTTCCTAGGAAAGTCAAACCAATTCTCCACTGGAGCATTTCGGAATAAGATAGAAAGGCATTTGGCCGAAAACATGGGAGCAGGCAGTGCAAACTCAAATGCCTTTGGGGCCACCCAGGTAACATCAATGTGTGCACTGTCAGGCAAAGAGAGAGGGAAGTGGTGGGGTCTGAGGTGAACCAGAGAACGTATGCCCCACCTAAAGACATTTGGGTTCAAAGTTTAAAAAAAAACAAAACAAAACACTGTGTCTGGCCAAACAAAACACATCTGCATGGTGATTACACCTGTAAGACCTCCTATTTGTGAATTCTGCTAAGGAGAAAGGGCCCAGGCCCTGAGTCAGTAAGAGTTAGGCGTCCTGTTTTTGAAAATGAAAAATGTGTGGTTGTCTCCGCCCCCAAGTCTCCTCAAATTTAGGAAACACTGCTGCTCCCTGGGCTGCCCCTATTTTCCTTCTCTCCCACTTCCTAACCTCCCAACTCCAAGGTAAAGTCCCAGTTCTGTATTTCTTTGAAACAGAGGCTAGGAGGCAGATTCCAAAGGAGTGGGAAGTGCCCAGAAACTCTTTGCTGGGTCCGGCAGATAAACTGCAAACTCTACTGTAAAATCCAGGGCAACTCATCTGCACATTTCAGAAAATGCTGGCATTAGCATTAAAGGCCATATTTTTGAAAATCACAGCTTCTTCCAGCAGAAGTCCAGAAACTGCAAACTGTAAAAAGGGAAGATTCTAATATTTTTTAAATGTTTAAAAACCACTGATTTAGTCTGTCTAATGCTCTCACTTTACAATGATGTTAACTAATGAAAGGTGGCTTAGACCAGATAATCAAGTTTTAATTTCTGGTCCCCGGTGCTCCTCCCCACCATAAATGTTCTCCATCAGTTTGAGATCTATGGACCAATGTCAGGATCATAAAAAGACCTTCTTGAGAGGCTGAATTTTCGTAAGTCCTGAGGTAGATCAGACAGAAATGTGTCAGCGTCCACTCCAAGAGGAGTTGAGGAGAGGCAGTCGGTAAGGAGAGTCACAACTAGACCAGTTTCCCAGCAAAGAGGTCAATGGGCAGAGAAGCTGAGATTATCTCTGTCTATTCTTTCCCTTTTGTGAAATTGCCGGTCAGGATCGCCTGTAAGGCTGCCCCTGAATTTAATGAGCTGTCTCCTATAGAAAAACAGAGGGTCCATATCAGGTGGTCATTTCCATCTCTGGAACCTTCTCTGGAACATCCCTGAATATAGGATACCCATCCCAAACCTCTAATGACCCCACCTGTGTGGTCACCAGGTTTACTGCAGTCTTGATCCTGGGCACTTCTCTTGCTATCCCTTGTGACAGTGGGCTGCAGATCACTGCTTTGGTCTAAAGGGTGTCCTGTGGAATGAAACAAAGGAGGAACTTACCAAGTTTATGCTCCCACACCTGGAGGAATTACCCAAGTGGGTGACACAATGTGGTTAGGGAAACCCACTCTTGTCTCACGGTCTGAGGCTCCAATGTTATAAATCTCACCAACAGATCTGGTGCTTATTTTTAAGATTTAATACAGTGTGGTTGGAGAGGGCCTAATTGTAGGAATTGGTAACTGTCCTGACTGGACTCCCTACTTGATAATTCCAATAAGCTCTGTCTCAATGATTGCATTAGTCAAACTGGGAGCTTAAGTGTACCAGGATAGGGCTTCTGGTTGGACAACTGGATGGTTTTCCTATTTCCTTTTCAGTTGTACCACCAGGGAAGTAAAAGGAGGGACAAGGTCTCCTCCTTTCCTCCACATCTCTGCCCCTCAGGCATATGTGTCCTTTCCTTTCATCTTGTAGTCCTGTTCACTGATGGTTGTGGGTCGACAACCAATAATGCGGTCATGGAAAAGAGAGACTACACATTCCACTAGGTTGAGGACTACCACAGTTGCAGCTTTTTATTGTCCAGGCAGCTTAGCTCATGTTGATAAATACCTAAATACTTCTCTACCAAAACAGCTCATGACTTGAGTGGAAAAATACTGAAGGGTCTGTCCTGGCCGTCACATCTCTTCTTCCATTCTCCATGACCCTCGAGGGCATGATGGGTTGAAGATGTTCCACCACCTCAGACTACCTCAGGTATCTGAAGAGGGCTGGTTCTTCCCAGTTGGATCCCTTGGCTCTAGAGGAAACCACACTGGTAGCAAAGCCCCTCGTCCTAAAGATATGCTTCAGGCTTTGCCCTGAGGCAGCCCCCTCTCCTTTTCCTCTGACCGGCGATGTAAACCTTGTTCTCTCTCATCCTGCACCTTCCTTCTGACTCTGGCTGTTTCAGATTTGCTGGCAGAACTTCCAGATATACCATATTAGAATATTTGGGACCTCCGACCTTTCTCCTTTTATTTCCTTGGATGGAATTTTTTTTTCCCATCCTGTCCCTCTCTCTCCTTCTGAGTGGCTCTCCTACCTCAACATCACCTTCCCACACCCAGCCTGATGGCACCATGTCTCTCCATTCCCTGGAGGTGGCCCAGCAAACCCACGTTAAGCAATGTCAGCTACTTCAGCCTACACTTAAAGAGATACAGTCCCTACTCCCATGGAGCTTACATTCTAATACATTCTAATATTCTAGGAATAAAAAGAAATAACAGATGTAAAAACACCCTAAAAGTTTTAAGGGGGTGACCTGGGTAGACTAGAGTCCCCTCAATATTCCTGTCTACCTAGAACCTCAGAATGTGACCTTATTTGGAAATAAGCTCTTTGTAGATGTAATTAGTTTAAGATGAGGTCATACTGGATTAAGGTGGGTCTTAAGTCCAAAGATTAGCGCCCTTATAAGAAGATCATGTGAAGACACAGACACAGGGAGAATGCATGTGATAATGAAAGCTAAGAGTGGAGTGATGGGTCTACAAGCCAAGGAATGCCAAACATTGTCAAGAACTTCCAGAAGCTAGGAGAGAGGTATGGAAAGAATTGTCCCTCAGAGCCTCCAGTAGAAACCAACCTTGCTGATTTTGGACTTCCAGCCTCCTGAACTGTGAGAGAATAAGTTTCTGTTATTTTATGCTACAGAGTTTGGGGTAATTTGTTATGGTAGCCCTAGGAAACTAACATGAAGAGGTAAAGCTGACACATGATAAGAAAAAAGAAATAGATGAAGAAGATTAGGTACATGTATTCAGCTTGATTTCACTGGGGGGGGGGTGTTAAGAACAGGAATTAGGGAAATCTCCATTATTTTCATTTAACAAACAAATACAAATATATGGATTATTATGTTCCATGCAGTGTTCTAAGCCCTTTACAAAAATTTACTCTTTAATCTTCATAGTAACTCTAAAAGGTAGAGGCCACTATTATTCCCATTTTACAGTTAAGGAAACTGAGGCCCAGAGCGGTTAAATAACTTGCCCAAGAGTCACACACGGCTGGAGAGTGGCAGAGCCAGGGTTCAAATCCAAGCAGTTTTGCCCTAAAGTCTGAATTCCTAAATATGACATGGTACAGCCCCATTTACATAAACATTTTAAAAATCATTAACCTCTACTCTTATTTTTTCCTTTAAAAGTGGAAGTAAAAATTCAGACTTTATTTCTTTCACATGCCGGGGCCTCTAAGTTCTCACAGATCTGCTGCTGTGGGAGGAGGCTCTGGCCTGGACTGGCATTCGATGACCCACCCAGAGGGTAGCCCCAGAGGCATGGTTTCCAGCAAGGGCACCATCTAGGTAGATTTCCTGGTTGGGGATCTAGGCAGGGTAGGCTCTCCTGCCCTCATGATGGACCTGGCAAACAGTGCCTACTGTATCTGGCAGAGAAGGCGCATACAGATGAGGCACAAAAGCGCAGCCTTCCCTCCTCACCGCTGCTGGCGAATTGCACCAGGAGCCCATGTCATTTCTGGCTGGAGTGACAGCTGGTCAACAGCCATCTTATCAGAACATAAAGAGGCCAACTTGTGGGAGGTCTGACAGCCAAATGCCACCAAAAGCAGCACTGAGAAAGTACAATTCTTTTTTTTAAAGAACAGAATCTCACGGAGAGATTTTTTTTTTCCCCCCCAACAGCCACATCAGAAACCCCCTCTCCACATAAAACAATTCTGGTAATTCCAAGCCTATGAGAACATTTTCCACTTTGATTCTCCAGTGCTTAATTCCAGTCAGTATCCCGGTCAAACTTTGAGTTCAAAGAAAGTCTTGCCTGGTAATTGCTTTCTCTAACTTGGAAACTAAGGAGGAAGGTTTTCCCTTAACCTAGAGATCAGTTTCTTGTCTGCCTCAGAACATCGCCGTTTGGGAAATTCCCCTTGCCTTCAAGCACCCAGACACTGTCACTCTGTTCTCTTCTGACTCCCAGCGATCTTGGGTGGGATTTATTTCTTATAATTTATGCCCTGCCTGCTTCCAAAAAGGACTGGGGGAAGCTTCATAGGTTGTTTGTTTCTTGTGGTTGTGTTAGCTGGCTCTAGCTTAGCACTCGTCTTAAGCTTGGGGCAGATGTGTCTGTCCTGGTTCCATCTGAAACTGTTTCTCCCACCTCCTTTTTAAAAGATTTTATGTTTAAGAGCAGTTTTAGATTCTCAGCAAACCTGAGAGGAAGGTACAGAGATTTCCCATATATTTCCTGCTTCCACATATGCATACACTATCAACACCTCCCACCAGAGTGCTACATTTGCTACAATTGATGGACTTACACTGACACTTCTTAATTACCCAAAATCCATAGTTTACACTATGGTTCACTCTCGATGTCGTACATCATATGGGTTTGGACACATTAAAATGACATATATCCATCATCCTGGTGTCATACGGTAATTTCACTGCCGTAAAAACTCCTCTGGGCTCTGCCTATTAACCCCCTCCCACACCTGTGGCAACCATTGATCTTTGTACGGTCTCCACAGTTTTGTTTTTCCCAGAATGTCATATAGTTGGAATCATGCAGTACGTAGGCTTTTCAGACTGGCTTTCACCTTGTAATATGCATTTATGTTTCCTGCATGCCTTTTAGTGGCTTGAAAGCTCATTTCTTTTTAGCACGAAATAATATTCCATTGTCTGCATGTACTACGGTTTATTTATCCATTTACCCACTGAAGCACATCCTGGTCGCTTCCAAGTTTTAGAAATTATGAATAAAGCTGCCTCAAACATCTGTGTGCAGGTTTTTGTGTGGACATAAGTTTTCAACTCCTCTGGGTAAATACCAAAGACCGTGAATACTGGATCATATGGTAAGAGTCTGTTTAGTTTTGTAAGAAACTGCCACACTGTGTTCCAAAGTAGCTCTACCATTCCGTATTCTCATCAGCAATGAATGAGGTTCCTGTTGTTTCACATCCTCATCAGCATTTGATGTTGCCAGTGTTACAGATTTTGGCCCTTCTAATAGGTGTATAACAGTATATTGATGTTTTAATTTACATTTACCTGCGGACATGATGTAGAGCATCAGGCTGTCTGTCCCCTCTCGATGGGGAAAAAAATAATTTTTATGTTGCTTTTGTGACCACCCCCAAAGCATTTAGCAGAGTGTTCTGCACAGAGAGGATGTTCAGAAAATGTTTGGGGGAAGGGCACCAGATCAGGAGTTAGGCAGTCTGGATTGCAGGGAGGTTTCTTAACCACCATCTGTAAAATGGGGTAAGATTCCCAACCTACTTCTCAGGGTTACTGTGAGAATTACAAAAATAAGGTGGGTGAAACTGCCTTGTATAAACTAGAAATTTCTATGCAAAAATATAGCATGTTAGGAAAGTAAGTATTTCTTTTTGTTAATCAAGAAGGAAATAATTCCCACCTCTATGATCATTCCAGCTTATGCAGTTCTGGTTTCCTATAAATCAAAGTTATTTACTTTCCGGGGCACCTGGGTGGCTCAGTTGGTTAAGCGGCTGCCTTCAGCTCAGGTCATGATCCCAGGGTCCTGGATCGAGCCCTGCATCGGGCCCCCTGCTTGGCGGGAAGCCTGTTTCTCCTTCTCCCACTCCCCCTACTTGTGTTCTTTCTCTAGCTGTCTCTCTCTCTCTGTCAGTTAAATAAATAAATAAAATCTTTATTAAAAAAAAAAAAGAAACAAAGTTATTTACTTTCCTATAATCTTTCCTAAAAAGATAAAGTTTTAGATGTTTACAGCAGCTTTATTCGTAGTAACCCAGATCTGGAAACAAATGTCATTTAGCTAGTAATTGGCAAAACTATGGTATATCCACATCCTGGAATTCTGCTCAGCAATGAAAAAGAACAAATTACTGTTAAATGCATGAACACTGATGAATCGTAAAAGTATTACACTAAGTGAAAGAAGCCAGACGCAAAAGCTTATATACTATATTACTCCATTTCTATGACATTTTGGGAAAGGCATAATTATAGGGACAGAAAACCCATTA